AAGTGCGGGCTATGCAATTAGCCTTGGAAAAATGGCTAATGCGGAGCCAGTTTAAGGGGGGACGTGGCAAGTAAAACTAATTTCTTTATTAATGTACTGTTTGTGATGAAATTTGGTGTGTGTATGTGGATGATTGTGAGGATTCCAAATATGAAAACCGTTTTCAAATACCTCTTGTACTTTTTGAGTTACAAGCATAATTATACTAATTAATGCTCTTTACACTTAAAGAGATAATTATTGCTAAATGAAATTATTTTTTCATATTATTATGTTCCCAAAGCATCAACTTGTGCAAAAAAGCTATTAGTTGATTTTTCTAGTTCTTGTAACCATAAATAAAATTTCCAAAACATGGATGTTATTTTGCGCACACATCGCAGTAATTATAAAATGTGTTCTAAAAATTTTAAATGACGAGTAAGAAGAGAGATAAAGCTTTATTGCACTGCTAAAGGCCTCCTGAGCCTAGTGCAAAAAACGGAACGACTCTATCAGTCTTTGTTAGAAAATGACAGATGTTCTAGCGAAGGCACATAGGCGAAAATCAAGAGTTGAGAAAACTGACTTTGAAAGTTCACTCTTGTTTGGAAGTTCACAACATGCCTAAAACACTCAGAATCCTCCTGGGCAGTAATCCTGAGATGCTGTGGCCTTGGCCTCTGTAGAGCGCAACCCAGTTTTGCGCTTCTTTGTCGTGGAACAATGCGCCTTTTGAGCCCTCTTTACCCTTTTGGCATCCTTTTCGGCTGCTCGCCGCAAAGAGCAGTCTCCTGGATTGAAGCCCAGTTGAGCAGTGATCTCTTGCAGCGCACTCTTGCAGCCACCATTGAAACGGCAGACTGCATCTGCAACTGCACTTTCCACACTTCGAAGGGAGGCGAACTGGCTCTTGGACTGGAGTGACCAAATGAGGCTGTTCATACTCTCCACAGCGTTCTGGGTTTTTCCCTGCGCACACCTTTCAAGGAGCTCTTTGTTCGAGAGGCGCTTGTAGATTGGCAGCAGTGCCACTCGCACGTGAGGGGGCAGTTTATGTTTGTGAGGCGGCAGCGGCTCTCCCTTGGCCAATGCCTGATTGTGCGGGCACCAGGAGTCAGTCCCACTTGGGCACAGGTCGTGGTGTGGATCCTGATCTGTGGATGTTACATGGTAATAAGTGGCCATGATGGCCCTCTCCATGCCAGGAACATCGTTGGGGTGGCTCTTAATGGCCCAGCCATAATAATTCGTCAACTTCTTTATCAGGCCCTGCGTCAGCCGGCCTTTGCCACCCATGCTCAGTCCTCGGCCTTTGGATTTGTGCTCATCAAGAAGGTTGCGCAAGGAAGTGCCCATTCTTTTTTTCACATGGTTCACACACTCCTGTTTCTTAATCACCATGTAGCTATACACCTTGTCTTGCGTGAGGGCAAGGTACGTACGGCTGTCACCGTCGCAGAGCACATTGATGTATCGAAGCTTGTACTTGGTAAACGATCTTTCAAACATGATCCTAGCTGCTTCTACTTCCATTTGGCCTGCATTAGCATCGGTGTTCTTTTGGCACTGTGGCTTGTGTTTCTCAAGCCACTCCTCATAGTTGTCGTCACCAGGCTTGGGGCCAACAGCACAGCCTTGGCAGTAGTTGGACAGGACACAGTGGTCCAAGACCAAGCCTGTGTACAGCTCGATAACACAGCCCACGCCAATATGACTTCTGTGCCCCCTCGTCATCCACGTGCCGTCGTAAATGACGTCAATGTTGCCTGGCACTCCTCCTAGGTCCTTGTAAATGTCATGCACCTTCTGTGCACTTTCTGCTTCAATGCGGGTGGCAGCTGATGTGGTGGCAGGGTGGCTGTACTTCCTTTGCAGTCTCTGGTAGGACTTGTGGTGCAGTGCTCGATGCGAAATGTCCATCGCAGAAAAAATGTCATTAATGGCAGATTGTTTTCTGCCAACTGACTGCACAGCCCTCAAAGCACGCACGTTTACCTCAAAGGGGTTCGTTTTTTGTTGCCCGGAGCACCTCGGGGACGACCACGCACTGTTCACTAAGCCACAATTGTCACAAAAAAGTTCCATCCTCGCCGCGAGTCCAAGGCAGTGCGTAGTCTCGAGGCGTATCGACCCTTCGTCGCACTTGTTGCACTTTACTGACGAAAGCAGACCGTTCAGCATCTTCTTATTTACAATGAAGAATGTGGAGTCCTTACCGCCGTCATTTTCGTCGCAGCCTTCGTTCAGAAGCTCGAGCTTCCGCTTTGAAGCGGACTTCGATGCTACGGCATCCAAAACATCCCGCCTTGTCTGCGCCCGCTGCGCGATTTCTTCACTGCTCGGAATCTGGGCCGAAACTCGCGATAGAATGTTCGACGCGCGCACACCCGGAGTTGCAACGGCTGCCGACGCGGTGCCACCGCAATCGGGTTCGCGAGAGCGTCCATCACGGTCGACGGCATCCGGCGGTCTGACATACGACGATGTGGCACCTTCCACACTCTCGGCCTCACAACAATCAGCGAAGGGTCTGAGTAGAGGCTCCGTGACGCTTGAAGAGCATGCTCCGTCCGGAACTGCGACTGGGACGGCAGCCGCAGTCGTCTGCCCTTTGTTCCAAGCTTTCCGACGCTTGCCGTACTTGTGGACGCTCCGGAACTTTTTTTGCGGCAACATAGCACCGCAGTATGAGCAAGCACTCAGAAGAGACCACCGATGTAAACAAAGCTTGGTAAAAAAAGCACGCGAACTATCACAAAAACAGCAAACTGGCAAAAAACGAAGCGCACGCCGGATGATTCTCGACACGGCGGCCGCAGATGCGCTCGCGCTTCCAAGGTTGCCAAGGTGCGCGGCGCAGCTTTGACCAGTAAGAGGTCGCGCCTGCTACCACGTGACCCGCGCAGCCAATTGCCGTTCTTCGTTTTCGTTTTTTTACTTGCTCCTCGCGCTTTTATTTTCACTCGGCGAAATACGAGACCGCGACCATCGGGAAGCCGGCTTTCTCCTCTTTCCAAAGCTACCAAAATGGCGGCCCACAGTCAACAACTTGGCGCGTTTGTGCGGCGTGAACAACACCGTTTCAGGGGCTTTTTTTTCGCACTTTTCGACGACTAGCCTCGGCAAAACCACTATTTGCGGGATTTGTAGCGCACGTTTCGCTGTAATATTTTAGAACAAGGAAGTTGAAGGTCTGAAGATTACGAAAAAAAATAAATCAGAAAATCGCATATTTTGACCAAAATCGGCACTTTACTTGCCGCGCCCCCCCTTAAAGCGAGCAGGTGCTGGCTAACAACATTCAACAACAACAACAGTCTAAGTGATTATCGAGGCGTGAACATTTTACAAAGTAGCAATTTTTGAGAGCCATGTCCTCGCGACGCACAAGCAGCATACGATGATCTCCCGGAGCGAGCATCGGGCCAATGGCGAGGCGAGCTGAGGCAACATGGCGGCCACAGCCAATCAAGGGCCTCAAAACGACCTTCAAACATTTCAAACCTTCAAACTTGATTTTTAAAAAATCAATTTTTTTGCTATTTTTTCGTATCCCAAAGCCGTGTCCCCCCTTAACCGTACCACTATGCAAGCATAGGAGCACAAAAGTAAAGAATCAAAGCGCATGGCCTCTGAGATGAGGGTGCGCAGCGTAGGCCGCCATATCGAAAGCCATGCAAAGCGCAACTGTGCCCACTGCCCTTTTGTTACATGGTGCACCTGAAACGATTGTGCGCCGCCATCCGATGCTGCATTTTTGATGTTGGGTTTGTTGTAGTGAATTTAGTTAGACACCTGTTGTGCAGGGCGCATTTGGCCGGTACGCTAGCTGCATGGTTGCATGCGCGCACGGGGAACCGAGCGCCAAGAGAACACTTTGGCGTTGATTAGTCTGTGCGTGTTCGTTACAGAAAAAAATAGGAAGAGCTTTCGGCTACAAAAAAGATTCGTCACGCATTTTGCGGGCCACAATAATCATGAGAAATTTTGGCTGTTATAACTCCTGTCACTTCTTTCTCCCTCATAGTGATGTCAGCTTTTCCAGAAAAAAAGAAGTGCGTTCATTACGCGAGTAAACACGGTAAATAACCTTCTTTTGCTCCTACATTAAAAGCTATGCACAAGTTTGCACCACCACATGATAAACGATATGTGGGTTCATAGAGTAAATACGGCAAATCACCTTCTTTTGCTCCTATCTTAAAAGCTATGCACAAGTTTGCCCCACCACAACATAAACGTTACCCATGCACACTAAAAGCAACAAATTTGCATTATATACATTTTGGCATTTGGAAGACCAGCATTGCATAGGCTGAATATTCATACAGCAAAAGTATTTGGTGGAGGCATGGGTCACAATTTAGTTCGACATTTTAGCTGGGAAAAAAAAGAAGCACAACACACAGTAGTGTTTTTAAGGCAATGACAATGATGTAATATTTAATGCCTAAGACAACATTTCCTCCTACTTTTATCATCCTTTGTGAAATTCCGGTCAACAATTACCATAGTATTTATTGCCATTACGATAATAACTACCATAATGGTTACCACCCCCTATGGTAGCCTTTCACTCCTTTCAACTTTTCGTATTTTACTGTGTATAACTTCCATCACAGGTTACAACAGACTGGGGAAAAGAAAATCTGAGTAAGCCACAGAAACCGACTATAGAAATCCAAATTAAAAAAAAATCAAACACCCCAACACCCCACCCCTTCCTTTAAAACTCATTAAAACTCTTCAACACCACTCACTCTTCGTGAAGGTTGAATACAAATCCCTAATTCAAGCTAGGTCTTGACTGACTTATTTCATTCGACTTCGCCTCAAACAGGCACTATTATATTGGCATGAGCCTACAGGTACTGCTTGCCTGCTGCTCAGTGTGGTGTCCGAAGTGACAACCTGCAACATACCAGTATTAGCCTCTATAAATTTTCTAAATGTTACATCTACAGTTACGCATTGTTCCGATTCAGCCACTGCATGCAGCAGACTCGTTACATGCTCACAGTGGGTGCCTCCGTTTCTGCAGCCACTTCGTCCTGCTGGGGCTTCTTCCAGAGGAGCTTGCGCTTTTGCATCTGTTCCGTGTACTTGAGGGCACTCACAGCTGTCGGGTTGTAGTAGCTGTACAGAGAAGACATACGCAAAGGGCTCAGACATTGCCAATAGCTAGACCACACAACTTGCACAAAGCCGTTTTCGAAAACATGGAATTGCATTTTATTAATTAAGAATTACATATCTTGGTGCGGCCAAAGCCATAGTTATCGAGAAACCCTGTGCTATCGACTCTACCCATAAAGGGACTGTTCAAAATGCACTCATTGAAAGTGCGCCAGTCACATGTACTGTATTGACTGGTGTGATGAACGCGCTTTTTTTTTCCCTCGAAAAATCTAAGCAAAGTTAGGGGGTGCGCTTATTATGCGGGGTAAATTTTATGAAAACTTTTTCATAAAAAAAGAAAAAAAAGCAGTAATGCAAGAAAAAGTTAGGTCCCTTAGTCTTTTGCGATTTGCATCGTACACTGTTTGAAAACAGCTTCTTTGTGCACACTCACGGTGGTGGGGGGAGGGGGGGGGAGGTTCACAGGAAGCAACCAATGTGGGTTGGTGCATACCAATGGGCAGTTTGGTGACCTTCACTCCCTGTGTGCTTATCATCCCGTAAGTCTGGTCCTGACACAGAGCTAAGAAAGTGCGGCTGTCGCCATCGCAAACGATGGTTGTGTAGCGCAGGTCATTTTTTTTAGTGAGCGCCGAAACAGTATGAGGGCCGCTTCGACTTCCATTTGGCCCGAGTTTGCCTCTGTGTTTTTCTGGCAAACATGTGCTTCCTTCCATTCACTGTAGCCGTCGTCGCCTTCTTTGGGGCCCACAGCACATCCATGACAGTAATTGGACAGGACAACACTGCCAAGCACTAATCCAGTGTAGAATTCAATGACCGTGCCCACGCCGATGTGGGACGCGTGGCCGCGTGTCATCCACGTCCCGTCGTACACCACCATAACATTCTTGGTGGGTGTTCCCTCCATTTGGCTGTACACATTGCGAACGGCTGCAACAGCGTCGCAAAACACACGTGCCGCGACTGCTGCGCCAGCAGGCCGAAATTCCCCCTTGAGATGCCTTTGAAAAGTGCTGCTAAGCAAAAGGGTGTCGCGGCTTTGTCAAGCTGTCTCTGACAGCTTTTTCTGCGCCTCCACTGTCTGTACCCCTACAAGGCAGAAATAAAGAATTTGAAGTCTTGTGGTGAATTCCCCTATGTGATACATTCATCACAGACCAAAAATCACTGAGTGCAGCTGATCCCTTTCCAATAGTTTTTATAGCTTGCATGGCCCGAATATTTACTTCAAATGACTTGCTGCTTTCCATTCGCGGTGACGACCACGCATTTTTCGCGTCCGCGTCGCAAGCAGCGCAGGAGAGCACCATCTTTACCGCTAACCCGTTTTTAGTTCCGTGCTTCATCTTGAGTCCCGGCTCTTTGTACTGCGGGCACAGGGCACTGTCAAACAGACCATTCAGGGCCGCGCGTTGCACGAGGAAAAACTCATCTTCGTCTTCCGTTTCGATGTCGCTCTCGTCCCCTTGATCCATCAGTGACATCTTGCGCTCCGTCGCAGACACTGCTCTTAGGAACTCCTGAACAGTTGCGGCGCGTTCGCGAGATGCTTCCGCTGACACGAAACGAGGCTCTAATCGGGCCCGAATCGTGCTACTGGTGGTGCTGGTAGACAGCCTCGCATTCTCGCGCGAAGTACCGTATTTACACGATTGTAAGACGACTCGAATGTAAGACGACCCCCCCCCCCCCCCAAAATCGCATCTCAAAAAAAAAAAAAAGAACGCGCGCATTTTACACAAGGGAAATTTATTCACGTGGTTGCGGAGGATTATTCATCGTCGCTGGAGTCGTCCTCGCTGGTGCTGCTGCCGTCATTGCTGCTGCAGTCCCACAGCACGTCGTCGTCAAGTGCGAGTCCACACTTCGCGAACGACCGCACCACGGCATCGCGTGGGACAGCCGCCCATGCGGAGAGAGCCAGGGAGGCTCTCCTCACATGCCCGCTTGACGTAAGTTCGCGGCTTCCTGACGAAATCCACTCGTATTCGCGGGGCAGGAGGAGAACAGCAGCCTGCTTAAACGCTGCCGTAAACGAGCGCCGAGTGTTCTTCGAGCCTACGGCACATGTCAGACAGAAGTGACTCGAGAGAGCCGGTCGTGGACACAAGCGACAGGAGCACGCGGCGACGCGCCCGCTTAGAAAATTGTATCACAAAGAGGAGCTCTTCCGTCAACTACCAATACCCCCCTACGGCGGCTCTTCCATCGATTACCGGTGCTCCCTCAAGAGCCGTGCGCTCGTCATAAAGGCACTCGTAATGGGCGCAGTAGATGCTAAAAAAAGAAAAGCTTTTGTATAAGCACGCGGAAAACTATGCGCTTTGGGTTGAGCGGGAAACTATTCGAGATGACAATACATGGTTCGATTTCGATTCTAAGATACATGGTTCGATTTCGATTCTAAGACGACCCCCCAACATTGGATTGTCAAATTTGAAAAAAAGGGTCGTCTTACAATCGTGTAAATACAGTACTTTGCTGAGCATTCGCGATGTCTACATCCTCGCGCGAAGTGCAAGGCTTAGCATTCGCGGCGTCTACATCCTCGCGTGAAGTGCTTGGCTGGGCATCCGCGATGAATACATCCTCGCGCGAAGTGCTAGGCTTAGCATCCGCGATGTCTGCAGTCTGCGCGGAACGACGAACGGATGTTTCCTCAGACAGCACAAAGCACTGCTCCACAGGCATATGAACAGTTTCGTCGATGCTCGCGGACGGTGCTCCGTGCGTGCTTGTGCTCGGCTGCGAGTCCTCATCGTGCCGCACGCCGTCGTCGCTGCGCGTAGAAGTTGCTGGACTAAATTTCTTTTTCACGATCGGCGGCTTCGGCTTACGAGCACCAAATCGCTACGCAGTCTTGCGTTTCTTCTTGAACGATCGCCGGTCCATGATCGCATGCGGGAACTGATCTCAAAACTGCAATGCGCCAAACTGGATAACAACGTTTTTCTCCTTTCACGAGCGCCGGTCTTATCGCAGCGCGATGCGATCTCGAAACCACGCCGTGATGAGTTGAAAACAAATGCAGTAAGCGGCCCGTCAGCGCGTAGAGCAGACGACCTTTGCGCCGATTGCTACAAGCGACCGCACGAAACCACGCCGCGACGAGTTGAAAACAAATGCAGTAAGCGGCCCGTCAGCGCGTAGAGCAGATGACATTTGCGCCGATTGCTACAAGCGACTGCACGGAACCACGCCGCGACGAGTTGAAAACAAATGCAGTAAGCGGCCCGTCAGCGCTGTCAGCGAGTAGAGCAGACGACATTTGCGCCGATTGCTACAAGCGACCGCATGGGCGACCAATGCGGAGCCGCCGTACAGTCACGTGACGCGCGTCGCCAATCGGAAACTGTTGTGATACCTTTACACTCTGGCTTGCTGTGGGTTTGCTCTTGCCTGGTTCAGCCGGCCGAGGCGGCAAATTTGAAACGGAAGAATCGCGCTATCCATAGAGACAAAGATGGCGGCGCTAGGTTACGTGGTTGCGGTGATATCGCGGTTCGAAAAACGCCGTTTTTTCGCAATTTCCGTGAAATTCATCGCCACCCTAGCTTCGATAAAATTTTTTTACGTCATTTCTACGCTGTTTTCAGGGGCGAAGCTTCGAAATGAGATAGAAAAGGGGTCACAGAATGTGAAAATGAGATTTTCAGAAAATCGATTTTTTGGCCAAAGCCGCTTCCCCCCTTAACAATGGCAACAGGGCCGCCCTTCGGAGTCTACGAGTTTTGTGTTCGCTACTAGTGACGGCAGCTGAAAGCCCCTAAGATGCGTTGGGCTTGCCGTGTGCTTAAAACTGGAATTGATGGTAAACTTTATTTCTTCAGAAGTAAACTGCGGACAATTCTGTTAAATAGCCATCAGCCCAATACTGACGTTCCGCGCATACCTTTTAAGGGCCCCTGTTGAGCGACGAACGCTACCACTACGCTCGCGAGCTTTGCGTATGGTATCCTAATTCTCAACTATTTGCTTCCACATTTGTGTCTCAAATAAATCTTGTCTTGTGTTGAACCTTTGCTTTTATTGTTGAGGTAAGTTTTAATTAGTACTTCTTAAAGCTTGCTGTTAGTTGCTGGTGTGAGAATCCCAATTTGCGGCCACTTCGTTTTCTTTTTCGCTCTGTATGTTTTCGTAGAAAGTTTCCCCACGTGATTCTTGCACCCCCCAACTTTTCATCGGTTTACCCGCAAAAAAAGTGCGAGGATTATGCGAGTAAATACGGTAAGTATCTGAGCCTGAAGATGCATCGTGAAATTTCATTGAAGTGGGAAAACAAAAGAAAAAGTGTTCGTTGCAGCGACAATACAGTCAACTGCCGATTTTTCGGACCCTCTAGAGAGCGGAAAGCCGTCCGAAAAAATGAAAAAACAAAACGCACCATTTTACTGATAATTTTCAATGCAAGCAAAAAAAAAAAAAAAAACACACACACCATTTTGTTAATATTTCTCAATGCAAGAAAAAAACGCACCATATCACTGATATTTCTCGGATCAAGAGGGTCAAGGTGGAAGTAAGTACCAGACTTCCGGAACTCTGCCAAAGCATCAGTGGGGTGGCTCTGAAAAGAGCCGTTAAAAAAATGCATGCAGCTGACAGCGGGTGCCGTCAGGGCAGCCGGTGTTAGAGCTGCAGTGGCTTGAAAAACTTGTTGATCCTTGTTTGAACGGCATTCGGCTTGCATGTGATCACATTTGCCTCGATCTGACCAAGGGTCATGGCATCACTGTACATCGATGACAGCGTCATCAATGCTCGCATCAATTCGGCGATCCTAGGTGGCGCAGGCGTTGGTTCCTCTTTTTCGACATCGGAGTCGTCTGAATCCGCCATAACCTGACTGACTATTTCGTCATCGGTTAGCTCTGCGCAGAAGTCGAGCTCATTGTCAGCGTCGACGAACCGCTCAAAAGTTATTTCCGTGGGCATGGAAGCACCAGCAGTGCGGAGGTTGTTGGTTATATCGTCCATGAGAAGGCACAAGTCAG